AATAACTAATTTAATAAATAAATACAATTTACAAGTACAATGTGACATTCTCAGTTATTATAAATAAAAACCAGTAAGTATTAAAATAACCTTGCAATATCCTGACGGAAAACAAATGTCATTACCACTGCGTTATCAAATCTAAGACCTTTTTTATATAATTCTGGGTCATTGTACCGAAGCGATGTTTTGTTCGAGTTATCAGCGTGTTGCTATCGAGTGTGTTATGTATGTCAGTGATAACTTAGCTGTGAACAAAGGAGATTACAAGACTTGTCTTAACGCTGTAATATTAGGGAGACGATCTAACATTTCGCTTATTTTAAAAAATCAACATAGAGATTTTTTGGGGCATTTCAGTACGTAAGCACTATATGGGACTATACAAGAGTGTCTTGATAAAGATTATGGCAACCAATTATTACTAACGATTATTTTAGTTTATCCTAAAGCTATTACTTTAAAACAAACACATTTAAAACGCGAGTTGTATTAGTTAGACTTATATTTTTTTGGACTACGGACCGACGTTTCGAATGTTGTGCAGTATTAACTGATATGTTTCGCGTTTTAAACCGTTAAGTGTTTTATTTAAATACGACACGGTTATTTAATTGTAAAAAGTCTGCTGACGTAACACTCGAACGGCCTCTTATAATAATTTGATGACGTCAAGAATAACGCATTTTATAATAGACAACAAGAATATATACCATACCATACTTCGAGGAAGACGTGTGAGTAACGCCGAACTAAATCCTGGGTCAATGCACCTCGGTGTGAAATCGCTGTTAATGCGTCAGTCTATAAACACTCAATTTATATTTTCTGCCAAATATTAAACCGAACTTAAATTTATTATGTAAAATTAAAATAAAAAGTGATAGACGGTGAAACGTCAAAATCGATGACAACATCAACTGATCTATTTGTACGCCGTCTTGCGTACGCACTCATTTATTTAAATTTATTTATAATTTAATAATAAAAAGTCTACGTTTATTATTGATACAGATCGACAGACAAGGATCGGATTCATTCGATGGCAGGTGAAATATCTAAACAAGATGCACAGTCGACTTATTTAGGCTTTGGATAACCGGAAAACCGAAACGCGATTAAACGTAACGGCTTTTATCTGTAGACGTTGTTTCGTGACCCGGACGAAATCTCGATATTCCTACCACATATTAAATATCCAGATTTCCAGACGAAGAACCACATATTAAAAAAAATATTAGAAACATATATAAGCCACACTTTGTTACAATTACACCAAAGAGCTCGTCAATTAATATAATGTTATGAACATCGAAATCGATTTTTGTTCACATCGCCTACGACTAAGGGCTATTGCATTAATCGAATAAATTATGAGGTCGTTAAGGAAGGGCAACGCCCTAGGTTGACTGCATAATATTGAAATAACATAGAACCGGGTACGCACTGTCGACACATATCGGCCGTTTAACTTAGGGTAGGTCCATATGTTGGTAAAACGACTAATAACTAGATAAAGAAGACCATTCGGTTTAATTTATAAATAATTTTAACCAATATATTTCACGTTTTAAACAGTTATCACCAACAGGTACAAACATTTTTAGATATTATGTATTATGACTCAGACACAATGTATACTCAAGTGACAGTCTTAGTAAAAATATTAGTTATTCATTTAAATAAAACACTTTAACGGTTTGAAACGCGATATATTAGTTAAACTTATTTGAAAAAGATTTTAAACTTCGGCCCGACGTTTCGGATGCTTTGCAGCAACCGTGGTCACGGGGAGACGGCATATCAATGTAGTATTTGAATAAAACACTATATAAATTTGCGTTTTAAACCGTTTAAACTAATTTAATGTGTGAAGCAGACACGTCTTGCCCAGTGGCCTTTAGTATTGCAGTATATACCAATATACAACGGTAACACAAAATCTCGCATAGTGTGTTTGGTCTTATGAAAATACAGTTTCTAATCGTTGCTATAATGCTCATCAATTCAGGACGTGTTGCCCGATCCCATCGTCATACTCAGGATTGTTCTAGACTAGACCCATACAGTTACTTAACGGAACCTAGCCGTTTCCGTGTTCACGCGTTAGGTCTCAAATCGTAATAATTGTTATTAATAGTAAGATTAAAATAAAACACTTTAACACTTAAACAGGATATATTATGTTAAACTTGTTTAAAAACTCTTTTAACTACGGCCCGACAAATGTGAAAATGAAATTTAAATGCGTACTACTCGCGTAAGCTACAGACAGTATTTAATAGTAGATTTTCAAACTGATTTCACCTACAGACAATGTTTTTTATGGGAGAAAACAACTGGTGTAACATTGAAATGCTCTAGTTCTATAACATTAAGTTACGTCGTTTTTACATTCGAAAATCCACACAGTAAACGAATCGCAAATTTATGTGTCACGGCCTTTTTATGGATGGTTCAAACCCAAATAGGATAAAGTTTAAATGTTCGTTTGTTTGAGCGCGCCAATCTCAGAAACTAGTGGTTCGATTTGAATGGTGGGAAATGTGGAAGACAGGAAAAAATATTTGAGGGTCTCCATCCAAGATACCCAAAAAATATGTATGGAAGAATTATTCCTGTTTAAGTGATGAGATGAGAATAAGATTAGTTAAGAAGAATGGCAAACGTGGACGAGGTCGTGGGTAATAATTAAGGATAATTAGTAGATAAGGTTAAGGTTGACAACATTTAAATAAAACACTTTAACGGTTTAAAACGCGATATATTAGTTAAACTTATTTGAAAAAGATTTTTAACTTCGGCCCGACGTTTCGGATGCTTTGCAGCAGCCGTGGTCACGGGGAGACCACGGTTCAATTAATTTTCAAATAAGTTTAAATAATATATCGCGTTTTAAACCTTTAAAGAGTTTTATTTTAATGTGTACTACTCGCGTACAGTATTTAACAACATACATATTTTGATTCCCATAATAACTACCTGGACGAAGTCGCAGGCACTGCTAGTATTTCATAAAGGTAAAGAGCAAACGCTTAGTTAATTGTGTGGCGAACAGAAATTAGTTTCCGAGCCACAGTTAGCCCGTAGCCGATATAGATTATATTATAGGGGAGTGCACGCGAGACTCGGGCAACGACCGCGGGAACTTGTAACTACATCCGCGCGCTCCGAAGCATAAGGGCGTAAGTGTCACTTTCCATCTGCACGGCTCCAAGTTAAGCAATACACGACGATCCAGCACGTCTACTGGAATGCTGATAGCATTTTTTCGCTTTCTTTAAAAATCGCTGGCGATTGGTCTATTTTCAACTTGCGCGCTTTTAAAATCGTAAATGTTTCGTCTAGATAAATGTAATAAATATAATAATAATGATCTTGCTTGTAAATTTTCTCGCGAATATTATCCAATACTAAATAGGCATTAACGCAAGTAACAGTGGGGGTGGTTATGGAATTTCGCCGCGTTACGACACCGCGCGTCAAAGCACGCTAAAATTAGCAAGGGGACGATGGAAATGGAAAATCGCGAGGTGCATCGGGGCGACGGGGCCGGGGGCGGGGGGCCCGGGTACTAGCGTGCACTGGCCTATATGCAGTGCGACGACACGGCGCCCGGGAGCGATGCACTCTAACTACCTACATATACATAGTCGCGCTCTAGACGCACACTCAGTCACACACCTATTTTTTCCACTGCAGTTGTAGGGCGACGTCGAGTCTCGCTTTACAATTTCTTGAAAGGGGCCCTCGAGCTAAGAAAGATTGAAACGGCCGTGTTCCTTACATTTAAAATTGCACTTAAAAGATTGCATCCGTTGTGTACACCTGATGTGGATGTGGGGAAAACAAACAGTCAAACGCGCGGCGAAAGAAAATTTTCACTGAATTACGCACATAGTGGCAGAAATACAACTCTATAACAGGAGACGAACGGGGAATTCCCCTCACAATAATATTACGTTATGTGTTTGGGGAAACCCCCGCGTTTTCAAATAAATTTAAAAAAGGAACGTCGTTCGTAATACAAAAAGTATGTAATGCAAAAGAGAAATGATTGAGGTCGTACTGGAAATAATTCATGAGCTATATATCACGAAGCTCGACGTAGACGAAAGTGGAACGGATACCAGTGGCCGGTGGTATTATGCAGTAATGTATAGTGCCATGAGGTGGTCACTGCACTGCAACTCCACCGTCAGACTGAGGTAACAGGTTCCGGTCTCACGACGCTACCATATCGGACGACAATACAATTTTTTTGCCAACTTCGCTGATCGACCTGCGTCCATTGCAGGTGTCTCAACGACAAATACTGAGGGAAATATTACTAAATAGCAGAACATTTGGTTCTGTGTATAAATTAAGGGAATTAAGAAATTTACGTTTACCCCTAATTTTAATTATAACACGATTTTATAAACACATAATCATAACCATGTATAACGAATTGAACTATTTTTTTTATATGATTATAAAAATAAACTTTACTTTAGTTTTGTTTTCTGAAATATTGGTTCCTTTTTTCGGAAACACATTTTAGTGATCACGGATCAATTTTATTTAAAAGCTGAATGAGACTTAGAGTACCCGAACTCGACTATGATATTTACCCGGGATTCAAACCCACGGCTGCTAGTGCTTAACAGATTGCATGTAACTATTGAGTAACGGAGGCAATAATACCATCCATTACTTAAGTAAAACAAAATAAATAAAAATGCGCTTTGATAAACGAATTCTGGAATTAAAGTATTATAAAGAATATTTTGGAAATCCGAGAAACGTTTTAATTAAATTGACAAAAAACAATAAAAAAATAATCCCTCCATTTATTTTAGTCATAACATCACGTCGCGATTGATGAATAATAAGATAAGAGCGCGATACAGGCCTATTATCATCACATATCTATTATTGTATTTAGAAGGCCACAGTTCAATGACCGCGGTTTTCCAGAAATTAATTTATATGACGTGACTAAAAATAATAAAAATTACCTGCAATTCTATCTGGCGGTAGCATATGATCGTCACTTTTTAGCTCCATGATGATGTTTTGACAGATTGAGGTTATAACTAGCGCGCGGTTGGGGACAGTTTGGCGCGAAAGCTGAATGTCGAGCGCGGAAAACGCGTGGGTGAATAAAGCGCATGCGCGTTACCGGAGTCCCGTCCGGCCAAACTAACCCCCTAGGAACACCCTCGCTTAATTTATAATTAGCATCCTTTATCTTGACTTATTTTAATAAAAACTTTTTTAACTACAACAATTGTACAAGTTGCCACAGACTCACAATATGTATACAGAATATACAAGGGCATAAAAATAAGAAGCAAATTATACAAAAATGTTATTTTTACGAAAGATATGATTTTTTATTTTTGCGTTTTAAAATTAGATATTATGATTGTGACTAATATACTTATGTATTGGAATATTTTTATTTTGAGGAATGCGTTAACGTTGTGTACAGGTATTTCCTCAAAATAAAACTCTAATTTATCCATAGTATTATTATAAAAACAAAAGCCAATATAATAAAACATGTTTTATTGTGGCAAAAAGCCAAAAAAAAAAACAATAATTAAACGATCAAGTGATAAAATGCTAAAAATCAAAGTTCACGAGGTGGTGTGGGCTGACGAACAAATCGCGTGGTGTGAGTGAAGGCATAGTAAGGGGCAAGGGTCAGCTGAGTTCACGGCCGATCCACCCTCCCCTACAGCCCAGCTGCACGAGCCATCTCGCTATTTATAGTGCTCAGCCTTGTTACTCAGTTTATCCATCAGATGGTGGTAAAAAAACCCAACCACCAGTAAGTCATAAGGATTAAATCTTAGACTGTGTGTCCTAAACTAATGTTTATAACATTAGTTTTAGGGATTTGAGTAAAAAAATTAAAAAAAAATCATAAATTCTGCTAATCTTAAAGTAATATACCTAGTTAGGCAAATATAATTTTAGTAATTAGTATATTAATTTACTTTAAAAGTGAGTGGGAGTAAAAATCTTAAAGCTAGAATATTTCATCTATCTCAAAGTATAAAAACAACAATTATGTATGCTTTATTATGAAATATCATCTATTCGTCTATGTATACGTTCTATCAAGTAATTGATACAAAATTAAATTAGTGGCGCCATCTTTGTTGCGTTGAACGTTCCTTCTACTCGCCACTAGATGGCAGCGATATCAAATATGGAACTTCACAACTTTACGTAGATGATCGTAGCTGCGTAGAGTCGCTACGACAAAGAGCTTTGAGTTATCAGCTTAGTGCTTCAAGAGCTAACACAATAAGCTTTTTTTTTACATTTAAACTACTGTCATTATTATTTTCTGCTGATATAAAACAAGTAAGTATGCCATATGAATTTTCGGAAATCGTAAGACTATTTGAGGTCAACGACCCCGCTCCCTAACCTACTCTGACCGTATTTAGAACACGTAGATTCCCGCTTACAATCAACACGACACACCACATCTAGGCCAACGCTGACTCAAGAAGACTTAATCATCAACTTCTTCATGCAAGCGTAACAATTGCGTCGTCATACATAGCTCATGTAATATCGGCCTATTTTTTGCGAATATTCGTCATCTATTAGCGTGTAACAATAGTTAGATAATAAAGAAACCAAAAAAGACGTTTCGAATTCGGAACATGAATATTTTAAATACTGTCTATAGTTTACGCGAGTAGTACATTTAAATAAAACACTTTAACGGTTTAAAACGCGATATATTAGTTAAACTTATTTGAAAATGATTTTTAACTTCGGCCCGACGTTTCGGATGCTTTTGCACAGCCGTGACCACGGCTGCGCAAAGCTAACTAAAATCGCGTTTTAAACCGTTAAAGTGTTTTATTTCGGAAATGAATATTTTTACAAGGTAATGATTACAGTTTTTTACAAAACCGAGGTTATTCGGTTATGAGGCAAACATGGCACGGTTTTTATAAATGTTATACATATATGTATTATTTATTACACATAACACATACACTATATATATTAAACGTTACTTTACGTTGCTTAGGATTAAAATCCTTGTTTTAGTTATTATAATGCGTATGAGTTCAATTGTTTTTTTATATAATTACTATCTTTACTAACGGTACTTATATAAATGTATTTGCGCGGGATTTAAAAGAAAATTGAAAATATTAGCATTTCAGTGGATGGTAAAAGTTGAAGCATTCAATGGGTATTTTCCGCTCATTTTGCCTGGACGCGAGGTCCGCAGCCGAGTGGTATGACGCGAACGCAGATCAAATTGAGGTCAGGGCGGCGCGGGCGTCGACCTGCAGCCTCGCTTGCCCCTCCCCCCGCTTGCCTCACCCTCCTCTCCCATAGACTCTAGATACATTATTCCCTCTTATCCCGTTTCCTCCCTGGCACATCAGATTATGCGCACCGACTTTAGCTTTTCTACGACAACTTTCACTAGCGACAAGACAAGACTTTTTTATATTGTATCGCGTTTATTAATAAACTTTACAACTTATTTACTTTTTTTAAGTGATGTAGCAAGTGGCGTGAGATATTATTGTAATGCATAGACAAATCTTAATATTGTTCTGTTTTTATTTTATTAACTTTCCGAACAAAAATTAACAGTGTGTGTATTCTAACCCCTAAACGAGGTAGAAAAATTATTGTAAAAATAATAAGATTTAAGAGAGAATTATAAAAAAATATATAAAAAAAGACGATCTGTATAACTCTTTCACAGCTACAAGTAAAGACAGGCAAGCGCTTCAAACGCTCACAAAGACTTGCTCAAGGGGTGTTAAACAATGGTACACTCGTCATTATAATTATTAGCTAAGATATCCGAGTGACAAGTGACATTATGACGAACGGGGACGGATTTAGAATGACTTTAAACAGTTATTTGCGCGGCGCGGGGAAGCGCGGGCGAGCGTGACCCAATTGCAGATGGGTGAACGAACTCGGGGCCTTGATCGCAATACCGAGAGAGCCTGCCCCGCGCTCCCCGCGCCACCGAGGCTACGTCATATCGTTACCAGTTACCACATTGCTTCGTTAAAATCATGGTCGGTGTTAAAAGTTAACTACATCGTAAATACAACTTTTAATATATAGTATATTTTTTATGAGAGGGGAGGACCGAGGAGGGTTTTGCCCAACCCTTTAAATTAAGATGCGTCGATCTATTTAAGGTTTAAATATTTCTCAAATCTATACTGACTGACACTGAAATTTGATTCCTTTTATAACATTTTTTTTTTATTATAATTAATTATTGAATGACCTGATTTTCCTAGCGGTTTTAATATGTTTAGAATTTTTATTTAAACCTAAACCTAATTTTTTATTTATGTGTATAATATGGTGGTAATTGAACGAACTTTGAATTCCGTTAGTTATTTTCAATTGGTAATATATAATTTAAAAATCGAAAATAAATTGAAAAAAATAATAATAATGGTAATATATTATTTCGTTCATTAAAAAGCTTACGTTAAATGTGTGGTTGAAAATATACTCTTAGACAAATCACGAAGGACGTAAGTGTGAAGTTATTTAAGTTTCTTAAGACGTAATTAATCATTATCAATATGTAACACCCCTCGGATCATCAATCTCACGCGTAGAATACTAAATCTATAATTCGTATTCAAAAACCCATCGAAGTGACGTTTACCCCAAAGAAAGAGACAGTGAAACCGTCCGCCAGTAATGAATATAGAGTAGTCGTTGCGAAATATGCGTCGTCGCTATTTGTATATGGGGTTTTGGCACGCGAGACTGGGACGACTATATGTCCTAAGTCGCTGCGAAGATTATTATTAGAGTATCGGCTAGGTTATTCTGAGGCGACCTAGATATCGCGCGGGGCCGATGACCGCGAGCCCTCGGCGTGCGCGCGGCCTCCAAAATAAAATGGCATACGGCGTGATGGACTTCACTTGCGAAACGTCAGCCAGGCCCGACGGTTATGTCGACCGATATCAAGTGTCTAATTCGCAATAATGCAATTCGCCTTATACTTTTGTCAAAGAAAAACTAAGCTTATGTGTATGTAGAAATCTCAGACGTATCGTCAGAGTATTTAATTAAGAATGACCTCCAAGTGATGGATTAAAATATGTATCCTTCATCCATCCTAATCAAGATTTCACAATTCTCATAACATGTAGTAAATTAAAAAAATAATTAAATATATTAATTAGATCGCAATAAAGCGCCTAGCTCGGAAGGCCGAGGGCAACGAACTCCGCTTGACCCAGATTCGCGGCGACCGCCCCTCACCCCTTCCCCTCTAGGCCTATCATATGAAAGTGAAAAGAAATGCATTATGTTAATATAAATGATTCGTTATTGTTATGCCTGTCGAGTGGTACTTTCTCGCCCGAGAGATGAGCTCGAAGAAGCGCGCGGTCAGATGAAAGGTCTCACCTGCTAGCACTCTGCCGAGGAGGACGTCATTGTCGGTGGGCGACGGCGATTGTTCCAGGGGCTGTCGGCACTCCGTCACAGTCATATCTAGCGGGAGCCGCATGGACCAATACAATGGGCGCGTGCGGCCGACGGCGGCGGTAGCGCGAATGGCGCGAATCTCGCTAACGCCGCCGCTTGGTACAGGGGCGTCCGTAGCGCGTCTACGAGCCCGCCCGCCCCTACGAGCTCCCCTTACTATCTCGCCTTCAGAGCTTCCTTTTGTTCGTATTGTTCAATTTTCTTATTAAGGTTTGCATTTGTATATCTCACTTTGTAAAGTTGCCTAAATACGTAAGTTCCATATGAACTATATTTTTTTGGATAAAAGCTTTTATAAAACGATTTTGAAAGAGATCATCATTGGTTTAATGGTTCAAAGATCGGCATTACAATATTTTATATATATTATACATTTGTAACTTTTAGTTTTAACTACTATGAAAGGAATACATCATTATAAGTCTGGTAAATTATTATTTAAATTTTTTTATGACACATCCGGGACCTAAATGCCTATAATATGATTTTGGTCCTATTGGTAGAAATCAGTGTCTAGGCAACAAATAATAAAAAAATTTAGAATAGCACAAAAAACAGACACAGAAATGTGTTCGCACCTTGTCCCACTATTTTAAACGTGCAGGGTTAAAATGAATTTTAATTTTTTAATAATTCGAAAGGATTTGGAAATGCAAAGAAAGATCCAGGAATTTATTATTATTATTATTATTTTCGACAGCTTTTTTAATGATAAAAAATAACAAACGTGAACTACCATCAGACGAACCCCATGTTCATTTGATGGTAGGGACTCGACACGTACGACATCCAAATAAATTGCACGAGGCGACTTATCACACTCCTATCGCGCGTCAATAATAAAAATATGTTTAGGCGAGATCGGAAGCGTCCAGCTCAACCCGTTGAACTGAAAACCTAAATCTAGAATTGCCGAATGGTCGGTGAGCGGAGATACGTTTATAGGCCAAGGCGACTAATTTACCGCTAAGAGCTCGTTCAGCCGTAAATATGACATTTTTATGAGCGCCGATAATTCTATGCAGTATTTCAATAGCGTATGTTTTTTCAGTGACGCATACGTTGCTTCACATCGGTAATTATTGAAGTCCATGAGAGTTTTATGGAGGCCACCGGTTTAATATACACAAGAATAGCATTAAGTCACTTCTGTATTCTAGAGACGATCGACTAAAGTTTTACTTTTTTATGATAAAGCCTTCAATCAAGTGAATCTCGTCACTTGATAGAAACTGAAAAATTAAGATGAGTCGTTTATCTGTTATTAGATATAAATAGACAAAATTCAGAGTCAGAAGACAGTCAGAAAAAATCTCAGGCAGAAATTTATAAGCACTGTACGGTACTTCCATTAAAAGGCTTCGATTTGTTTTGGACAGTTTTTCGGCGTTCCTTCCAATCTAAAGCCTGATTTAGAAATTATGTACAATATATATACGGGTTCGAGTTGAAAAATTATTTTCGTGTTGATTAGAATATTTATCAAGGAAGGTTATAGGTTATACACATTATAGGAGAGAAGATACAGCGAGAAATGTGAACAAAGCGGGGGGAAATTTTTCATCTCTGTAGGTTTCAAATGCTTACGCTGCGAAAACGGTTCAAGATACTTAATAACTGTGTATGAAAGAATGATTCCTCTTTAAATGATCTAACAAAAGTCTGCGACGCTATATGTCTATCTTTTTAGATTAACTTGCAAGAACGACCCGAACGAGGGGACGCGTACGACGGGATACGAAAATCGTGGGTAACTACCTATCTACACTAATATTTTAAGAGGAAAGATTTGTAAACTCAAAAAATACTGGACCGATTTTAATAACTATTTTTTTGTAAAAAAACTGCCATAAAGTCTTTCATCGCATACGCTGTGAAGAGTATTAATGATAGGACAAAAAATGTTCGACAATATTATAGAATATATCAATCTACAAAAAACATCGCGAGACCATATGTCTAAATATTGTAATAATAATAATAAAAATTTTTTTTTCAAAAAAAAATATAAAAAAAAAAAAATTTTTTTTTATTTTTTTTAAAAAAAAAAATTTTTTTTTTTGGGGGGGTTTTTTTTTTTTTTAGTGAAAACTTTAATATTTCAATACATACATATAATTTAAAAATTGAAAATAAATCGACAAAAAATATTCGACTCGGGCAGGACTTAAACCGGCATCGTCAGAGCAACAGCACGGAACGCTGACGACGCCGGTTCAAGTCCTGCCCGAGTCGAAACATTTTTTCAATTTATTTTCGATTTTTAGATCATATTGTAGTTACGTCACTATAACTACTCTTTTACATTTAACAAATTAATAGGAATGCCAAACAAAATCAAACCGAGTTATCCATACCATTAATAAATTTTTTTTAATAAATCAAATTCTATACATATATTATATATAGGTATACAGATATTCTAGAGCCTGAGAAAGGATATAGGCTACTTTTTAATGCCAAAAAAGGGATGTAAAGGGGGATGAAAGTTTGGAACAATGAATGAGGTATAAAAAGTTGTGTAGATGTATCGTAACTCAAATAAGCATTTAAAAATATACTATAGCATGGATATACTTATTATGAATACCTAAATAAGCTCCTTGTAGTGGAACACTGTATTTACACAAGTGTCTTATTAAATTTATAAAAAAAATAAAATAAATATACAGCCTAAATAATTTAAAAAAATCTACCCATAGTTACTATTCCACATGGACGAAGTCGCGGGCACAGCTAGTCAGAGATATATCTAGTACCATAAAAATAAACTGTATTCTTCATTAATAATTTAAAATTCATAATGATGAAAAGGGCGGCATTGAAATTTTACAGTTGAGGCGATGAGTTACATATATGTGAGTACATAATAATATGTGTTCAATAATACATAAGAGCAATAGAAGCAGAGTATCAGGTCAGAGTTCGGGTTATGCTGAAGCCAGCATCAGGTCGCGTTGACGTCATTGGAGGTCATTCACCTTTTACCCTCCACCCCATTCGCCCTATATTCGAGCCGTGATATGGAGTATTGGAATTCAGTTAACTTTGTAAGGAATCAAAAGATTACAGTTTAATTTTCTAGTGCTCTGATTAACTATAAGATGTGTATTTCACCCCTAAATTAGGAATAGCTTGATTTATATTGTAATTTTTTTCTATAATTTCGACAAATATTTTTTACAATAGTGCAATTTTAGGTGTCTTTCTTTTTAATACGACTAATTAATTATTACTATTTAATAATTTAGCCGATACGTACTTTTATAGTCCCTAAACTTTTCATTTAACTTATACAAGGCATAATGCATTTTTTTTTATTTTATCGGTCTTACAATAAAATACTATTTTTAGTACTTCATCAATTTAAGTATACAATGATGGCTATTTAAATTTCAAAGCGAAGATGAATATTCTTTTTTTATCCAACACATTTAAACGGATTAAAATTTGAACTTATCGATTTTTGTTTTTGGCCTATTTTTTTACTAAGACCCGAATATAAAAAATTTGAAATGCATGAACTAATATATTTATATAGAATGTAGTTTGCGTAATAAGTTGTTTGACAATATGTTGTTCACCTGACAACGTTTTAAAGCTGTAATTAACAAATAAGACTTTCCCACATTAAAAGAAGTTATTTTTATAGATCTACATTTAAATACTGTCTATAGTTTACGCGAGCAGTACACATATAAATAAAACACTTTAACGGTTTAAAACGCGATATATTAGTTAAACTTATTTGAAAATTTTTTTTAACTTCGGCCAGACGTTTCGGATGCTTCGCAGCAGTCTCCCCGTGACCACGGCTGCTGCAAAGCTATATCGCGTTTTAAACCGTTAAAGTGTTTTATTCAAAAAAAAGATCTACGTTTGTAAATAACCACAGGTAAGAGGTCAACTTGTGATTGTACCGCCCTGTCACTAAAAGACTTTCTTAAAGAAAGTCTGAAATATACATTTTATTTCTTTCTTCAATTATTCTCATATTGAAACAAAAGCGGACGAGTTTAATGGGTCAACAACGCTCAACACTGAGAATGCTAAAACAATGCCATGGCAGGGCAATCTCGTCGGTGAAAAAATTTACTTAATAACACTTTTTTTGCATAAAATACTTATAATTTATTTCCTTAAATTTCATATCTGTACACATACATATAATTTAGAAATGTATTGCTGTAGGTCCAACATTTTTCTAATAAATTTATATTTTGTCTGGAAATCTGTAGGATTGTCAAAATTCTATCCCGGCTTCGAACCACCGACAGAATGGGTGTAAGACCGACGTGATTTCATTATAAGGAGCTGTTACTTACTTACAATTATTGTAACTTTCTAATATCACTAATAAAACCTCACAGGTTTTTCCGATAGTCATTTAGATCTTTTCCTGACAGAGGATTTAATTGTATTTTGCGATCAAAGACAAAAAACATTATGAGCGTGGAATTAAACTACTTACTATTAAAAAGATGGCAAAAGTTATTTAATATGCCTGAGCAGTTAAGAAAATTTACAGAAACTGAATGAGTGCGATATAATCAAAGTGACAGAACGGGAAATATATATTTAACTAATCTCATCTGTATGTCTATGGTTACACTAATCTGCTAAAGTACTAAACGAACATCTTCGCATTTTTCTCTATATAAATATAATACAGTAATCTTTTAGTTAATATAGAAAGCGATACTGTTTTTAAAACAGTTACTATTTGTCTTTAGAAGATATATTAACTTTCAAATCAGCCGTGCTTATTAGTATGTTTTTAATTCACTTTTACTTCATAGCATAAACAAGCTTATTGCAGCGCGCGCGCAACTGATTGTCAATTAACTTGTAGCGGCTTAGAGACTAGTCAAGCAGTCGCAGGAGTTTGACCCCAGAGGAAAGTGGACTATAATGGCATACCACTTTCATTTTCGCGTAACTCTCACCGCGAGTCGAAACCGAAAGTGTACCACTTTGGTTATTGCGTGCGCGCAAGCCCCACCGCCCCTCGATCCAACTTTCCTACGTCAATGTACGATTTCTTCTGATAGAGTCGCTAGAAGTGCCACTTATGCAATTCGCTTTCTAATTTATTTCATGCATTGTAACCGCAGCGTGACAAACGTTATAAGGTGTTATTACGTTATCTATTTAAAACTTAATAACCCAGGATCATATTTCGCTAGAGGAAGTAACACTACTTTTACATATAATATCGAAAAACACATTCTTCCAAATATATTAAGATTTGTAAGAATATGTTGTTAATATATTACTTATAAATTTCAGTGAAGACAGAGAGGTCGAGGGTTTGAATATTAGGGAAACATAATAATTAGTTTCGGTCAAGCAGGGCACAAAATGCAGAACCAATACTCCCAGAAAAAAATAACTTTTAAAGGACTCAGTAAACATTTTCCCTAAATCTTTTACTAATTAGGAACACATTGCTAGTTTGACAAGTCCAGCGTTTGTCTTTGTTTGGGAAACTCGGTTTTGGCAGCGAAAAGACTTATCGGGTGGGAATATAAGCATAGTGTTATACATGTTGTGTATGTCACTCTGCATTATTTTAAATATATATATCTAAGATCAATTGTTGCTAATTTACAAAATTTATAACAACACATTAATATCAGAAGTGTATTGAGTTTTTTAGTAATATTCATTAACGACTACAATACAATCAATTTTTATCAAACTAATCAAGGCTCGTATTACACATCTATTTTTGTTTTCAGTGCCAGACGGAAACCTGTAACCGTGTTTTTACCAGAAAAGTAGACCACAAGGTTACGCAGATAAGCTTCATACCGAAATATAAAAAAGACAATAACAAAACACTTTAACGGATTAAAACGCGATATATTAGTTAAACTTCTTTGAAAATGATTTTTAACTTCGGCCCGACGTTTCGGATGCTTTGCAGCAGCCTAATGATGCAGGATGTCAAAGTAAAAATTGCTACGCTAGAGCCATCTGTTCCGTCGAAGTTGGTATTTGGCGGAACTGGCCGGGTCCTTACAGAAATTGACTAACGGTGTCTTCGCGTTTGCCGGTATGCTGTTTATTGGGATCCTGAGTTCAGAGTCCAACTCTGGATTCTGGATCTACGTCCTCCATCTTTAGTCTCCCCGTGATCACAGCTGCTGCAAAGCATCCGAAATGTCGGGCCGAAGTTAAAAATAATTTAAAATAAGTTTAACTAATATATCGCGTTTTAGACCGTTCAAGTGTTTTATTTAAATGTGTACTACTCGCGTCAACTATAGACAGTAATTAAGACAATAACAATTTTTATAAGATAGAGGACAGACAATCGTGTGTTTCATTTGATAGATACCCCAACTATATACATCTAATAAGAATATTCTGAAATCCACAGACAGAAAAAGAAACGCGATTAACCTTCACGGTTTTGTGATCTATGGAAGCTGGTTCGCGACCCGCATGGTATTTTGATACTCTTTTCTTGACTTCCCGACGAAGTCTACAGGTTTTAGAAATAAGAAATATATTTAACGACGATTTATAAACAAACGGCGTGATTGTAAAATAATTAATAGTAATAATAAAAAAAAGTTTGTTAAAAAATTACGCTGTTGACGTGAGTTTCACAAAATATTTGGCACATCTACAGAAGAGCTCAATAACCTTTTCCGAATTCGTGAGAACTTCTAAAAAGGAGGTTTTATTAGCTCGTAACCGTTTCAGGTAAACCGCCCACGAATTTGATTGTGTCAGATAAAGCTAACCGTGTTGCTAGTCGGGATCTAGGTTTTGAGCACATAATTTTGTTGATATGCATAAATATATGTGTCGAAATGTATCGGGGCCACCCGAATGTGATGGTTCTACGCGCTCAAGTTGCTCTTTGTTTTTTACGTATTTAAAATATTTTTTTGGCTTCATAATTTTAAACGTTTTATGTTTAACATTTATACGAATTATGAAACAAACCATTAATTTGTAAATATCGTATTTATTTTTTATTTTTTTTGTAAACAACGCTACTATTGTAGTAACTTTAATATACAATTTTTACATTTAAAATATCATTGTATTAAAATACTATAAGGAAGTTTATATTTTTATACGTAGTTTTGAGACCTTTATTTGAAGTCTTTATATGTATAGTTTAACAGATGGTTATAAAAAATGGTAAGTTTATACATTACCAAAGAATGCCTTCAATTATTACATGTGTAGTGTTGAGCGAGGAATTGTCATCATATGAGCCACGAAAAGTAAGAGGTCTGCCCCGGAGCGAACAGCCTTGAGGGCGCTGAATAAAATTGGCAATATCCTGGAGCACCAGAAGCTCGATTGGTGAAACCTTGTGACGTGCAAAAGTCGGTCGACGAACTCCTCAAGGCCGGGCCCCGCCGCTTTCTTTGTTCGGGCTGTCGCAACATTCGAGCTCACAATTCAACCTCGGCTTGCTTTATCAAGCGTTCACCTATCAACTCAGAACCGTAAATATTATAATCTCGCAGCTTATCGACTGACTTTTTAATTACACAGAAGTGCTGAAGGCCAGACCATAGTGTAGACATTCTATATTGCCATAAATGGAGCTATAACGAAAGAACGTCGGTCTAATCTTAGCAATGTATGACTATTGCCGTAGGTTCTATTTCTATATATTACTTTAAAATTGAAAAAAGTTAGGATTATAAAGAACCGTCACATAGGCAAAACCGTAAAGTACATATGTGTAAAACTGCGTATTCCTTTTTTGAACGTTGAAATAAGTCAACAGCACATCTTAACCTTCTCAATATACCATCAAATGAACTTCATGCTTATATGTCTTTGTCGGTGAAATCGCTTCGCGAAACTTCAAGCTATGTCCTCATTTTTAATTTCAGGTTTCAGCACGTGTTACAATGTCACATGTTACAATTTTTTTTTTTTGAGATTGTCCTCCTAATTCGGCTTCGACACTTACAAAGTTTTTCATATACATATACAAGTTTGTTTATTAGATAAAATTTGTTATTGTACAAATATTTCACAGATTTCAAATTATTATCTTCAAGACATAAAACTTTAAAAATATTTTTTAGTGTGTTTTATCCCTTAAATGTTACTTTTCCTTATTTTTGGGTAGTGTTTATATAAATAACTTTAAGGATAATTAACAATATATTTCAATCTGAGTTTAAAACTGTTTAAAGTTTGTTTATGTTTCACTATTAAAATTTTATATTACAAATATTAAATACTTTTAATGTTCTTTATTACATTTGTATTAAAGACTTAAGAGTTCCTGAAATAATGTAAGGAATTAAAACCAACAACGCATTGATTTATGATTCTATTTCTTTTCGGTACTATAACGTTTAATTATTTTACTTATTTGTTTATATAAATGGGATAAACACTTTTCTTTAATTCTATGTGTACTTTTGTTAATTTTAATGCGTAGGAAATCTGTCGGGAAATCGCACGATACGCCAGCACGTGCTTCACAAACGTGTAATACGCTTCGTTAAGCGTTAAGCTGTAAACTACCGTAAACATTATGCACCAGTTTAGTTCATATATAAACGCGATAGTTTTGATAATTATGTACAAATGTTATATATGACTAAAATTGTATATGACAACATAATTTTATTTCAGACAGAAACACATAGTTTAAAAAAAGTTAAAACAATATTTAAAATCGAATCCATTACAAACCAATGTTGTCACAAGGTTTTAACAGTATAATGTGAGTTTGAATAACTGTTTAATTGTTTTTTTTTAAATTCAAACTCAAACTAAACAAAATGTGTATAACTGACAATGTAAGTTACATCAACTATATATAAGCTTCTTCGGCTGGATTTTTTTGTAATATTGTATGTTTGACCTAAAAACGTCAGAAATTTTCTCTTTTCACTTCCCCCTGAGACCAGGAAAATTTGAAACAAGTTTGCTTTACGTAAAGTTCGTTATTACGTTTAATACGTTACGTTTACGTAAGATGAGTCTATTCAATCACTAGTTGCCTAGCGTCTGCTTACGTAATCCTTGCGTATTAACAATTCTTTTTTGTTCTTCGAGAATATGTCACTGTTTCTAGTGCAAATGATGCTAATACAGATTATATAACGAGGAATTGGTGGAATCCTACAGACGGCGGTTTCACTTCTCATTAATCAAAAGTCGAATAACATACATACGCTTTGGTTAATTTTGGTATGTTTTCACTTTTAGTGGATATATTAATGTCAGTAATAAACAAAATATTCGAATTTACGCACGTTGTAAATATTGTTAGGGTGTACGCATTTGTAGTAATAATTACGTATTGGAGCTGCGATCATAAGTAATTATTATACATTTGTAAATATTTCTAAATTCATACATTCCTATTTCAATCAACCGAAGTGAGTTTTAATAGTTTAAAAATATCGACTGTAAACTAAAAAATTACCCATGTAGTTATCTAGTATTGCGTACTAGTAACACCTAAGGAGAAAAGACTTGCCACACAAATAAACCCCGTATAATGTGACACGAATGATAAGGCGTTTGCATATTCTTTGCTGGGTGTCGTTTCGCAGGGTATCGTAATACGCCCATGGCCAAATTGCAAAAAGCAGACGCGTGCGCGTTGCTTTGGCTCTTTACTCGGAGAGGGGAGCACTTTCACCTGACGAGGCTGCGCGGGCGTCGACCCTCGTTGGCCTACTCCGCTGACCTACTACAAACGAACCGAAACACTACACTTTCGTTTCTGTCGAGCTCATCATTAGGTACGAGGATTTCTTATGCGTTTCGTTCGCTTCTTTCAACGCGCAGAATCATTCTATCAAAACTCAGTAACAACCTACCAGCTTGACAATTTTCTCCTTCGTACTAATGATTTGTTTTTTTTTTTAATAAAAGTTACTTTGGCGGCTTTGTATCTGCTACCGTTATGTATGTAGGCTAAATATTAGCCTTCTTATATTGTATCACAAATCATAATACTTGATCTCAGAATACGTGCGTAAATAAAAAAAAGAATTCCAATTTTAAATTTTGTGTTACGTTCTTGTTTATTCTGTAAGTAGTTACAGAAACTTATACGTGTGTTTAAATTATGTTTGTAAACGATAAAACGCATTTCCCCCGCGAACCTACTAAGGCCCGAGCAATAACAGCAAGTAGAGAGTTGTCGAGCAGGGGCTTGCGTAAGACGTGTTAGCGAGAGTGAAAGTAGAATCGCTGTCTCCATACTAATGAGCGCAAAACGAGCCGGAATCCACAACACTAGGTTAAAGTGTCAACGGACCACTTTTTACCACTTACGTAACCGGACTTTTGGGTGGCTAACGTCTTTCTCACAAGTCGAATCTATGAGTAATTCTAAATACATCAAACGTTGACGGGCTAGTTGGTCTACTGGTAGCAATGGTTCGATCCCCAACGGGTCTAATACGTTTTTAATAAATTAATTATTGTTCTCGAACAGGTTGGAGTTCGTTTGTAAATCTTGATATTGAATGGGTGGCAGGAATATCAGAAATTACGGCCGGGTCGTAGACTATCGTCCTGAAATGAAAAAGCCGCGAAGCTTAATCGCGTTTCAGTTTCAGTCTGTGGATTCCAATAAAATGGCAGTCCGGTCCATTGTTATTGCCGACGTTTCTATAGAATACGGTAACACAATCAGTTAGAACAGCGCGGTGTAGATGCAGGTTTAAATCCCGCCCGAGTCGTAATTTTATCCATATAAATATTTTAATTTGGTCGAGAGTTAATAGATTTTTATTTTAGTTCCATATAATTCAAATTAGCAAAAAGCCACGCAGGCTATTTTGTTGTAAATTGAAATCATTAACAGAACAAGTAAATGTTTTTGTCAAAAATTTACAAAATCTTGTAAAAACCGAGTGTAAACAATACTAAGCTATTTTAACGTTGACTAAAATAAAACTGTCCAAGTTCTAGTCTGATAAGCGCGCAGGGTTTCGCATCTATGGAAGCTGCAAAAAAACATCTCCGTCATATAATTGAGATAACATACGTACATACATATTTATGTTATTCTATATTATTGTTACTACATTTTTTTCACGACTGAGGAAAACAGACAAGCAGTTGTATACCTCAGCTATATAATATCAAAACCTTTCAAAGAATATCTCTATTCCTACCACTCATTTAACATCCAGATTTCCATGTTTCTGAAAAATTTGAAAAATGTAGCCATACATTAGACCAACAAGCCCGAGAACCACTATTACACCACGGTTCATAAGATTAGATCTGGAGACAGACCAACAAACAGTGGTTTGTAGTAATTGTGTAGCCCTTGAGTCACGGAATCCTAAAAAGCCAAGCGATTTTGATTTCCAATGGCATTCGGTCGCAATCAGGTTGGCGCTGAGCGTTCGCCGTTCGCTGAGTGGCGACCTCGAGCAGCCGGGGCAACGAACGCTGACTAGGCCGAATGTATTACAAAGTCCGAGCCTCGGCCGCTCCCAACCATTCTGCTTTTTAGATCCTAGGGCAAGATTCATAAAACAACGGGCCACAATTTGATTTGGAGAAATATAATGCAAGTGAAATGTACGAAAACGGCGCTACCGCTGAGCCACACACGCACACACAAATACGTTGATGATTTTTCTCACCATTCGCTTAAATTATATATGAGGTAGTTTATTTCTTTAGATATTGAAGTTAATAATATTCAAAATGCATAAAATAAATTATTATCTAAAATCGAACAAACACAACTATCCATTAATTGTACATGAATTCACAGACTTTTCTTTTTTAATGTAGTTGACAAAAATAAAACCAAAGACAATACGGAGTGTGTTCGGAACACTCTAGAGCTCCTGCTATTAATATGCACCTTTAAAATAATTATAACCGTAACAACAACTTAGAATTATTTAAAAAAATACTGGCCACGCAACAGTTTAAAACAAAAGAAAGGTTTACAGAATTATCTATGGCTAGAATTGCTTATATATTATCATAACATGAAGGTGACGTGACATATAGTCTTTGTAGTTTATAGCTATATGCATTTACGACTTAACCTCTATGACTAATAAACACAACTCTATGACAAATAAACTGCAGTTTAAGTAAGCAATGCAAGTACTACATGATTTTTTATCTGTGGTGTTGTTATAGGTAATAAATAATTTAGGAACTCTTCAAAAATTGTCTTATAGTATAATAAAATCACTAGATGTAAATTTAAATACCTACATACAGTTTAAAAGAAAAACAATCGGCAGTATAAAATAAGCTAAAGAAAAACAAAACAACAGGAGCTATTGCTGAAAAAAATGCATTTTTAAATAAAACACTTTTAATGGTTGAATTTTCAGATTTTCAATTCATATTCGTTAACTTATTTTAATTTATCTTAACTACGGGATCGAGATTTCAGATTTAGCTTAGCATTAATATTTTTTTCTAAAACAACAACCAATGCAACGGTTAATAATTAATCAATTATTAAAATGCGGGTTTTAATTAAAAAATAAACCATTTTAATTGCTACGTTTAAACATAAAACCCCACAAAATACAAACTAAAAGTTGATAGCGATGTTAAGTTGCTTGGGCCATTAAATTTAATTGAGAGCAGAAAAACTTATATACTTTACATCTTTTTCGTAAATTGATTAAAATTGATTTTTAAAACAACTTTGCCAAAGATTGGCAAATTTACCTTAGCTTGAACAAAAATAATATCTTAATATAATTAATAAATGTGTTATCATTATTTTTTATTACTGGCTAGTATATCTGGAAACACATACAAATATTAGATAGAAAAGACATTGCATGATATTTTTTAATATTTAGTTTTTTTCTTTCACTCTCTTTACGATATTATTATGATAGAAGAATTGAAATAATTAAGATGATTTAAGCTATTTTACTTAGACTTTCAAAAATAGAAAGAACACTACAATAAGACTTCTTTATCCAAGAAAATATGCAATACAGGATGGGTTGCTGAATTTTATCTCGTTCTGAAACCTACAAATATAACGCAGAGGTCGTGTTTGAGTATGCTATATTGGTTTAAAAATAAAGGTGTATAAAACGAACAACCTGTAGTTGTTAAATTCGCCAGCATTAGAATGCGAATTTGCGCTCGGCTCACGTTTGCAAGATAAGTCAGTCAGGGTCGAAGCGGTGCCGACGGCCGGCCATGCACCCGCCTTGCGACACCGCCCGCCCCGCTCCCCATGCCCCCCGCTATATGTACTGCCAACCTTAATCACCAACATGCCACAGGAAAATAACACCTAAGTGTCGCAACTATAGAAATACATTTGGAATTCTCTATATTTGTCGCGAACATCATATTTTTATCGAGCATTTGTTATTTTACTCGATTTTAGAAATGTGCTTTTGGCTATCGTAGTATTCTAAGCTCTTGGTAAGTCTTAACGAGAAATCCTCCTTATCACAAAATATTAGCTAGAAGTTAGGATGACCTCACGCAAATCGGTTAAAATCTACTGATTTTCAAATAACCAATCTTGCACGACAGTATGCATTGTCTTTACCATTTAATAGTATATTTAATGTCTCTTTTTGTATCGAAATAAACAGATATTATGCGAGACAAGTTTTATTTGTGACATAATCTAACAATATTTACATCCTTTTCTTGTATATTATAATAATGTTCTGACAAATAGATACACCGCGAAACAGTTCCTGTAAGAAAGCTGTTTGACTTATTGAAAATTATTTTTAATTAAGCTAAGTATGATCTTAACCACCAATATAATATATAAAAAATTTATTAAAGTTATACTGGATAAAGTTAGAATGTGATAATTTAAAAAAGTGTTATCATAAGGAGCATTAAAAAACGTTTAGAATTTTTAATAAAAGAAATTGCTTACATTTTTTTGTTCAATCATTTTGTATCTGTTTTCTACTATTTTAGAATGTGCCAGCTACTAAAAGTGTCAATAGATTCCAAATTTGAAATTGAATCAAAAGTAGTATGTAGGAGTGAAATTGGCATCACTTACTTATACAATGGTCGACACGTTTTGAAGTATAGGAAAATCCCCAGCAGCTCTATTACTCTGAATACATAAATCCATTATCATAAAAATGGAAACCCATGTTTGCAAAAAGCCAGTAAGACTTCACGTCATGAGAACGTATTGAATTGTAGTAAAGACTTCTTCAAAGCGAATCCAATAAAAAAAACAGATATATTAAAATCTGTTACTAAGAAAGCCTTTACTTATAGAAATTTCTTCAATCAGCCAATAGTCTTATCTGTCTGTGTGAAGTAATTACAAGAACTTGCTCTAAAAACGAAAGCCTTCTGTATTTTTTATAAAATAATAATATTGCTATTAAATAATGTAAAAAGATTAAGCTTGTATTAAACAAGAATAAAATGGGACATATAATGCAAAAAAATATCCCGTAGCACATAAGGATTCGATTTATATATATTACTTATAGCGACTTTCATCAAAGTTATTATATTGTTCGTGTTAATTACTTTAAAGGAATAATTATTTTCTATTCATATGCCTCCATTGAAAATTTAAATTGAAATTAAGTATTTAAATAAAAAAAACTTTGAACGGTTTAAAACGCGAAATATATTTGTTAAATTTATGTAAGTGCGACCTGATAGTATACTAAATATTTTCTCAAAATGTACCTCATAATATAAGTAAGACAAAATTACTTTCATAAGTAATATTAGTATGGAAGAATGTATTCGGATAGGGGTGTTTTCGGGGTGGCGTTGTGGGGTTGACCTAATTGCAGTTCGCCGACCGAAGTATATTTAGCTTTTTAAAGTGTGTGCCGCTACTCATTTGCAAATGTATTTGTTGAGACGTATCCCTGAGGATAAGCGTGCATTGTAGTAACTAATCCTTTGCATACATTTCAAGGGAGACAAAAGTTTCATATATTATTTTTAATACTTTGGCACAGATGTTATACACATAGAACAATAGAATTCCGAAATAAAAAGTGAGAAATAATTTTAATTTTTAGTAACCACCATGTTGGACTTCGTCTATTGAAATTTCGTCCGGGTAACGAACCACCGTCAACTGAAGAAGCCGTGAAGTTAAATCGCGTTTCGGTTCAATCATGGCGATTGCACAAAAGGTCGACAGCCGTGTTAGATGTTACATGGCTGGGGTATTTCATATTGAAAGGAACCTCAAATTTATCTGTCCTCCTCTATCGATGAAAAAAACCTTAGTAGACTACAATTTAACATCATTCAAGAAACTTAATAGCTACATACTCACAATATTTCATCACCCGAGCACAGAGTAAATTGTAGCTTACCTGAAAAATAAAAATTACGTTTATAATACGATGCGACACAAACAATTGAATAAAATAAGTGAGCCCTAATGATCAGAATTTCAAAATTATTTTCGAGCAAATCCTAAGTCATTATTATCCTAGATAGAAATACTTCGATATAACTCGCTGTCGTAGTCAGCGTATTTGCCTAATTGATCAAATATATTTAGTTCATCGCTCGCGGTCACATCAAAACGAATCGTAATGTTATCAAATCAAAGTTGAAACTTGTTTGGACGCAATTGGCGCTGAAGTCATTATGTTGTCATCGTCCTAATTTTGCAGTGTCCTCGTTTTTGAGGTCAGTCTCTATCGGGGCAACGAACTCGTGCCCTTATCGCGGGGAGGGGGAGAGGACGACCGCGGCTCGTTCAACGTTTTAGCTTTGTTCACCTATTCTACGACAGATGGCGTTGTAATATTCGCAAATATTTCCTTAGAGTTTATTAATTACTTCAGAGTAAGTGTTTGCTGACAATTCTTATCTTTAACAAGAAGACATCCGTTCAATAGTTATATACCACACAGTTGACATGTTATATGGTATGACTTAAGGTAACGGATTAAAACGCGATATATATTTATTAATTTATTTATAAATTATTTTCAACGTCGGACCGTTGTTAAATTATTATATATAAGTTGATATTATGTATTTTAAACCGTTGAAATGATACACTCGCGTAAACTATAGAGAATGCTTTATGTGTTTTACTTTTTAATCCATTCCAAGAAAATCCCTTTATTTTAATCTTAAAAATATGGTTCGATTGTAATAATTAAACTTAAATACTGTCTATAGTTTACGCGAGTAGTACACATTTAAATAAAACACTTTAACGGTTTAAAAACGCGATATATTAGTTAAACTTATTTGAAAATGATTTTTAACTTCGGCCCGACGTTTCGATGCTTTGCAGCAGTCTCCTCCGTGACGGCTGCTGCAAACATCCGAAACGTCGGGCCGAATAAAAATCATTTTCAAATAAGTTTAACTAATATATCGCGTTTTAAACCGTTAAAGTGTTTTATTTAAATAATTAAACTTATCAAAATTACTTAACATATTTTAAAGATTTCAGATTGTTTGAATCAGACGAATTGAAATCTGAATACAAGCAAACTCAAACTAAAATGTTGTAACGTTGTGGGAATTACTAGTAAAAAAAAGATGTGGTCACAGATAATTTCAATTACAAAAAAAGCATAGACTAGTCGCAAGCTTATTAGCTGCGAATCATACGCGAGTCATAGTATCGTAGCACACACGCCTCGTCGGTACGTAGTGGTAGGTAGGGGCGCGGGTCGACGAACGACAACCGGGGCAGCCTTGCTCTGTCCTCCGCGCCCTATTTCTGTCGCCACAGAGCGCTTTCCCTCCCCACTTCAGATCCCGCGAACTCCCTTTTAAATACCTCTTAAAACTATATATATATATATATATACTAACAATAAAAGTATTTCTTTTATGATTCTGATTTATCACATTTTTTTTAAATTAGTGTTATTTATAGGTAATATTAAATTGAAAATCTATTTTAGATAAAAAAAATTACGTCACGGGCAGGACTACAACCGGCAATCACAGCGTTCTAAAGCGCTCTAACCAATTGTCCTCGGGTATTGTTTTTATACAATATCCTGTAAAAAATATTAAATTTATCAAACTACGGTATTGCTTTTCTATGTGTTAACTTATTATGATTCCGTATTAAATTCAGTTGCGCGTAAGTTTGTGTTTTAAGAAATTGCGTAAAACCAAGATGAGGTCATAAAGAGCGGACATTATCTATGTGCTGAGGTGGCGAAGGTCGACAAATAACATCGAGTCAACAGCGTCAAGGCGTTTACGAGAATTAAGAACGGCCGTGGTTACAATCTAATCGATTACAATATTTTATTTGTATCCGTAATTCTGAAACATTTGTGTAAGAAGTAAAGGGCCCGACGCAACCTTCGAGGTCCATTCTAAATTGAAAACCCCTACAACATATTTATAGATTTGACGCCAATTATTTTAAAATTAAAAAGGGAACAATTCAATAGGAAATTATGTAATCGTTTAATTCGACACATTAATAGCTTAGTATATAGAATAATAATTAAAAATATAAACTTTGCAAAGGTGTGGTAATTGCTGTAAGAGCATAATAATCGTGATTCGTGCAAAATAATACAAAATAATAAGCGAAATTTAAGGAAGTTAACTGCGATAGTTATTGTTTGATCTGGGCAATCCGTAAGTCAAAATATGTCTTTGTTGGTTACATAACTAGAAGTACTCGAATTAATACAATAGGGTGTCGTGTTGAATTAAAGTTACTCTTCGAATAAATTAATGATCAATGCTCTGCATGTTGTATAACTTCTCGTAACACGATTGTAATCGGGTGTCGTCAATACAAGACACGTCTAAACTTATTGTACTTTTCATCTTTGCGTGTGTGAGTGTGACGTGGCTCGGCGCGGTGTGTGACGCGGGTTGCGTCAACTTTTACTCGCACTTTCTCGCTGCGCTTGCGCAACCACCTAGCAGCGCAATACTGGTTCACTGGACTCGTCGCGCTCATTGCATTTCCCTTCGAATTTCATTTGAATAAACTTGTATCTGTTCATGTACCTGCGTAAATCCGATGCAAACATACTCGTGACGAGATGAATTCACAACCCAGAGTATATGAACATCGCAAAAACTACAATCGTTTCGCTTCGTTACGTTAACAAATAGTAAAATTCTACGTTACTAGCCTAGTTTGATTTTAAGACGTGCTTTTCTGCTTAAAAATATATAAGTCAATGATATAATTAAATACTAGTGGTAGGTAACGGGACAAAGGGGCAGCGGGCGGGGAGAGGTGCGGGGTGCCGGGAACACGAGGTACGTGCCCTAGTTTCGCGCGGGTGCATGAACTCTAACGAGGTAAGGCCACCGACCGAGGCGG